CAGCACCTACTTATTTTTGCAGATAAAGGCCTGAAGTAAAAAGGATTTGGCAACTGTGCCATCCCTTTCAGATACCTGAACATTGCAGGAAGTGGCACTGGGGAGGTAACCAAAAAAAGAGTTCAATGGCTTTGTGAACATTGCTACGTGTAGATTTGGTGAATCTTTTCTGAATTCTGCATGTCTTCTGACTTATGATAAGCAGTATTTTCTCAGCTTTACAACTTAGATTCTATAGTCACTGCCATTACAAAAGAATGAAAGGAGTACAGGTGAGAGAGTTTGGTCACAGTATAATGATATTTGCCTTAAATATGTGTGATGGATGTAATACAAGTCTTTCTGCTGCCTCTTGCAAATTGTTGACCCTCCTCTCAGCAAGGTGCTGTTGTGACAGACCTGAAATAAGAGATACAAAAAGCACATATACTGGAAGCACAAAACACTGCCCTAATTCATCTTTTCATTACACATATAGTATTTCTATCTCAAATTTCTTCATTATTTGAAGCTTGCATTTACTGCACGGGAATGTAAAAGCCCCAGACCTGTAGGTAAAACAGCTACGTTTGGAACGGAAAAACACCACCTTGAGAAGCCCATTTATTGATCAATCCCATTAGTAGTGCCACAGCACCAAGGTGAAGCATGCATTTGGGACAGCAGCATCACATATCTAAAGACGACATGAATGCCCTCATTTCTGCCCTCGGTAACCTTCAGTGCAGGTCACTGGTGGGCAGCCTGGTTTTGCAATAAACCTGGAAGCTCCTTTGATTCTAATAGACCAGATCACTTGTAGCCAGAAAATTTCCTTTCTGAAAACAAGATCAGTATGACAGGGAAAACCTGAACTGACTGCAAAACCCCAAAACATCATTAATAAGTTTCACAGAACTTCACATACCCTAAGGTTAGCCCTTCCCTTTTCTAAACACATGGTTTGTTTGCACAAATTTCCCCAAAATAACTTCGGTGTTGGGATGTCAGCCATAATCCCACCTCATACCTGGTTGGACTGAGATCAAACCCTTAAGGAAGACTGCAAGACTTTTTTTCAGGGCTAAAGAAACCAAGCATACAGTAATTTTCCAAGCGCACGACATAATCCATGACTACAAGAATTTGCTACATTTGTTACATTTAATTGAAATAAATGCAAACCAACCCATGGATCTCATTTAACACCCAAGACAGTTATAAAAACTGATGCATGGGAGGTGATAAACCTTTTATTAATAACCTTTGTGTTATCTACTTTTGTTGGCTATGCTGTCTCTTTGGATTGCTCTGCGAAGGGGCAACACACATACAAGGTTTTCCAAAAGCACATGCAAGCTTTTTTCCAAATCCTATGCTGAGCTGAATTTTTCACAACTGAAATGCTGGAAAAAAAGAGTTTGCTATGATTTCAGTAGCAGATACAGCCCATTGGTTTCCCATTTGGTCAAACATGGCACAACTCAATTAGCTATGAAGCATGGAGTGGACTGTAGATCTCAGTAAAACATAGCCAGTCTACTAGCAATACATGAGCAGTTTGCTCTTCAACAGACTGAAGCATTCATTTTCTTTAAAGATATTTTTTACAAGTAGTGTTTTATTTGTAGCTCTACCACCTCAGGAGGTAAGTAAAGGACATGATCTCTCTACATAGGATCTTAGTCCACACACCAGGAAATGGCTTCTGCAGCCAGACCTATTTCAGGATCTCAGCCCAGCGTCCAGTCCTCATCTCACACTGACTTCTCATACTCTGTGCCCAATTGAATGTTTTTTCCACAAGCCCAGTGACAGCTGAGAATGGAGAGGAAAAAACAACTGTATGAAGAGTTTTTCTGAGCCAGTTTACAGGAGCATATAAAGGTAGAACTGTCTCCAAGGGGAACAGTCTTTTTACCTTGAAAAGCCTCTGTGGAGAAACTGAAATAAACCTTTTACCAAAGGATGCTTATGCTCTGAATGGTTCAGTTGTTTGAAAGCAAATGGAATGAGGTGGGGAGACAGGAGCCATAAAACCAGGTGCCTGTGCAGTACAGCAGCTATGGCTTCTGTAAGATGTCTCTTATCAAACAATGCACTTCAAGAGTGCTTTGAAGTGAACTAAGCACTTCAAGAGAAACTACGATTTTGTTTGTACGTATAAGTTCTACTACACTGGTTTAAATAAAAAAGCTCAATCCCATCTTAGTCTGGATGCAGCTATAAAGGTATGAGACTATTTATACTTGTATAGCACATTCTGATATGGAAAGAGGAATCATTTGTCCCAGGAAAAATTACACCTACACATAGGTGTATAGGGCTGTATTATCACTCTCTGGGATATATTATATTACTATAAGTATGGTAGTAGAAGAAAAATTACAACTCTAAATGACACTGTAATGCTGGTTTCGAGATCATACACAGACCAGGCACTCACTTCAGTGAGGCTCTAGGCCTCCTATGTGGTTCAATTTCCTTCTTCCACAGTAGCACTGGGAGTTTACATCTTTTCAGCAACATATTTTGACTTCTCTCTGACTCTCTTGCCCACACACTGTATACAAGAAGTTAAACTTTCTTCTCTAGTTGCTATGGATAAGTCATGTGAAATCTATTTGTCAGGTACTCTAGACAAATTCTAGACAAACAAGCCCCTATACCCTGTGGTCTCTCACAGCAGCTGCAAGGACAGCTTTGTGATTCAGGATTTAGGAGTGAAGTCCAGCTGAGCTACTTGCAGACTGGTAAAATGCTCAAAGAGACTACTGAATGAGAGGGTTGAAGCTTTCAAAACAGAATTTCAGTCTGTTCTTACAAGGACGTAACATGACATACTCCAAAAAGCACAGGTTTTTACTCAGGCTTTTGGCCAAGAACTCTCAGAATACCAAATCTGTTTTCTTTATACCGCTGTTTTCTAGTGAGTTGTGTGCTTGCCTCAGTAGAGTACAAATCTTTTTCTGTCAGACTTATTTCACAGGAAGAAAAGAAAGCCTGTGTTGGAAGACTCAAGTTCCTAGGAGCAGGAACAAATACATTCTGGTATTGAGTCCTTAAACATGCAGACTAAAATGCTTGCTGACCCCAGCTGCTGCTCCTGCCTCTCTAAAAGCCCGTGGGACAGCTAAACTCCATGTGAAACAGCTCCAGGGGTTTACAGCTCCCTTACTGAGGTAACCCAAAATTAGCGTCAGTTTAATATGTCAGGCTAAAAGCTGCAGTGGTTCAGGATCAGCTTCATGTACAATTCCACAACCTCTGAGAAGGGACCAAGTGAAAATGTAACTGGAGGCAGTTATTGATTCAGCTGTCTGCCCTTAATTAACTTATATCGATGCCCCAGTATTACTGGGATAAAATATGGATCAATCCTGAATTTAGAATGAGTTCTAAATGACAGATTAAAACTTGAACTAGACCCTTGCAAAGCTCCTTGTTTTCCTCTCTGACAGCCCACGTTTCAGTTTCTGGTGTGCTAGTTGGAATGATAGCCTTTTCCACAGTTAACTGTGTATTGAGGTGCACAGCTGTGCGAGGGATTTGTTAGACAGTCCTGGGTGGGTAGGACCCTGTAATAACCATCTCTGGTGTGCTACGTTCTGTAATAGCACTGAAGACTTTGCATTGTTGATCCAGAGGTTTCCCTACATAATGTAATATACTTCAATATTTTGAAGCAGGACCACTGAAACTACATTTTATCATATCAGGTTGCATTTATGCAAAGTTTATTAACTAATGATTAATAGATGCTTATGAGGTATAGATTATTAGAACACGGCTAGTTGTTCAAAAGTATCCAAACAGATGATGTAGGTGTGGTTTACATTATAATTACTGAAGTGCTTTTAGACTGTATGTGGGGGTTGGAAAAAGCCAGTATGCATTCATATAGTCTAACAGCATATCCCTAAATCTCAGTAATCATTTTAAAAAGTAATGTTTCTTGCTGTTACAGTTCTGAAAAAAATCTGCCAATGTGAGCAGAATGTAATCAAGGCAGAGATAGCAAAGAGATGTCTGAAACAACAGCTCTGAGGGGCATGAACTGTGCCTGCCAGCACCCATCACCCAGTGATGGCTTCAGCGTCAACATTTTAAATAAACCCTCTCTTACGGCAGTGGGGGGAAGAAGAGTAGGATGGATGGGTGCATTATTGTGACAATTTCATTTGTCCACCAGAACTGAGGAGAGGTTCTATGCCCATAGCAGTCCCAATTAAAAGGCAGCCCATAAAACTCAGCAGAGTCCAAGGGCAAATGAAAGAGATCCAAATGCAGAGAGCTCTCCAGAGAGACCCTGTCCTGCTTTGATCATCTTGTGCTTTACTGAGAGCAGCATCTCTTCCTCTGACCATACAGTCAGGATTTGGGAACCTTTGGAAGGGTATCACTATGTTTTGTTCCCCTGACTAGACCCTGCTGATAGCTCATACTGTTCTTAACCAGAAATGCAGTCAAATCTATTAGGTATTTAATGAATGCACTCCTCATTATGTCATCTTAGTGTGTGTGTGTGTGTGTGTGTGTGTGTTTATATATGTGTGTGTGTAGCTGCAATGTTTGCATTTACTCAGGAATGAGTAATTTCTTCTTTTGGTTTAATGTAAGTCGGATTGTGACCGTTGTCATGACTTAGCCAGCTTGGGTCAGAGCCATGCTGGGTGAGCCTGTTATATTTGAAGAAATCTTTTGGCTACCCCTCCTTAAGGCTGGCATTGCACAAGGTGTTTTTGAGCATCCATCTGCTTTTCCATACGTTTTGGTTTCAAAGTTAAAACAGGAGATACGGCGCTCATTAGTGGCAATCAGAGCACTGTTCAGTGCTGATACTGCCTCTGTAAAAGCAACCTGTCCCAGCTGAACCCAAAGCAGAAACAGGAATTTCAGATGAGATGTGAGAACAAGAGGGTGCTTTATGCTACAGCCAGCTTAAGTATTAAACACATTTCGTAAGCAAGGAGTACAGCCAATCCTATCATGACACTTTTATAAAACTGACCTCAGTCAGCCCCTACTGAGATGTGTCTATGTGACTTGCTCTCATAGCTGCTAAAGAGAGTCGCTTGAAGCTCCTTGTTAAGTTCTTTAGAAGAGACATGGCACAAACTGGACTTACGATTTTTCTACTCATAAGCATACTACTGCTGGATCAGACCATCAGCCACGCTTCCAAATTCAAAGCCAGGAAGCACAGCAAACGTAGAGTGAAAGGTACTGGGTTTTAACTGGGAAGAGGGATAGCAGCTTATAGACTATGCAAGTTTGCTATGTACTTACATAACTGCATGAACCAAAACCTAACATTATACAAATGTTTGTTAACAAAGGACAGTTAAGTCTATATTATATCTGTCTTTAAAATATTTTTATATGAGTTAACAAAGCTAAAAATAAGGTGGCAGAATGAGTTATGGAAAGAGGGCTGTATAACAGTTGTAAATAGATTGCTCTGTTATGCCTATCATCTCTGTCAACATTATTTAGGACTCAGAGGTACAGCTGAGAGAGGACTCTGGCTGATCATTCTTAGTTACATAGTTATACTGACTAAGATCAGAAGAATGGAAATCCATGTACATATGGTGGAAAAGAGCAGAACAAAATATTCAGTCTCCAAGGGTTATTGTTCAGATTTCTGTACCATTTCCTAATTTTAACAGAATGTCTGTCTAATATTTGTGGAATATTACTTTACCTGTGTAACAAGTACTGTGAAATGGCAAGTCAAACTCATGAAAAAGAATTAGCAGAAAAAGATAAAGCATAAAATCCCAGAGCAAAGCTTACAGAGCAAATAAAAGACTGCTGAATGTTGTTTGGAAATGTCTGTGTATTTAATTTAAAGACTTAGTTCTAATAAAAGAGGTTATGATGAAGGTTACACTAATGGCAAATATTTAAACTTCTAGTCAATATAAAAGACGCAGCTCTGATAAAGCCATTGTACAACATGTATACTTCCTTCTCCTTTTAAACCTCTATAGTTTTTAGCTTAGTGTCCTAAGGACCGGCTACTTATACATCTGTTTTGCCAGCACATTTATCTGTGTACTTTGCATTAGAGAAATGGAGCTCCTGAAGATACATTTTCCATATTTTATAAAATTCAGAATGAAGATGGAAAGAAAAAAAAAAAAAAGAAAATAAAAACCATATCTGCATTAGTGTCCCACTATGAAAAGGTTGCACCAGGAGCTCAGTTTGTTCTGGATTTTGCCTCTTTTGAAGCAGATGGGGACATGAGGGGGCTACTGTGAACTGGGAGTCACAGGGAGGAGCATGGATTGAGGAACTAGGAGTCCTGCCTTGGGGAAGCAGGGAGTCACGAAGGACAGCTGGGGATGTCCCCACAGGCAGTAGGGAATACAGAGAAGCAATGAGATTTCTGGGGTGCAGCTGGAAAATTAGGTGATGTCATACAGCTCTGCAGGATCTGTGGTTTTGTTAGTTCTGCTACATGTGAAAGAGCTTATTTATTCCTCGTGTTCATTACTGTGGCTTCTGGAAGGTCTGGTTACTGCTGCAATCAAATTGTCATCTTGTGCAATGGAAACATGACTGCTAGTTGTTTGATGGTGGTGGAATATTACATTCATTAAGAAAAAAGAATGGAAAAGAGACCATGAGAATGGAGTTATGTACAATTTCACTTCTTTTCTTTTCCCATCACCTTCTTCATGCTTTTGTAAGTGCTACAAAATGGTGTTTCAGACTGAATTTGTGTGACTCGAGTCACCAGGCCCTCTCTGTAGTGACTGAGGGGAAGGCTCCTCCTGGGGAGGGGAAATTGCAGCTCAGCAAGATTATTTGCATACATTCAGACTGTGAAGTTGATTATATTAGTTGTTCCTCACTGTGCTAAAACAAGAGTTGTGAGAAACTGTCAAGCTCACAGAAATAACATTTATTTGAATAAACACAACTTGTGTCCTGCTATTATTTGTATGTCATATATATATACACACCATGGTGTACAGTTTCAAAAGTAAATAGGCAAATTTTGCTGTAAATTAGATACTGGCATGCTAAATAACAATTAGCTGTAACAATCCATGGTTTTCAAACTGTTACTAGGACACAGTCCAACTGGAAATGAGATTTAAACCATGAGTGTGAAAGGTAAAGGTCGGTGCCTCCTGTTTTTTCATAGGAACCCTACAGGAATCCTTTCACTAAGGAAAAATCCTCAAAGGAAATGAAAACATATCTCAGCAATGCAGAAACACACGATATTTTGAAACAGCTTTTAACGTGCAATTTTAAAAGTAATTTTTCTTTTGCATGCATATCTGTTCATTTCTCTGTGTTCCTTTTATTTAAGAAAAAGATGACTTAAAGACCCAGATTGACAAATTGTGGCGAGAAGTAAATGCTCTGAAAGAAATGCAAGCACTTCAGACAGGTAAAGCAGCTTACACTGGTCAATGGTTTCCAAAAGTTATTACTGCCTTTCCTCTCTCCTTCACTCCCATCCTTCTCTTTAATGAGGGTTTGTGACTGAGAAATACAACTCTAAGAGCATGGTATGCCAGAGCTGTAATGGTGAGACAAATGTTGAAAAAAGTACTCAAGTAAAATCAAGTCTGAACTTATGGCATACAAGTGACAATTCTTCACTAAGAGCAATAATTAGTCTGGAACAAGAGCTACTTTTGTCTTTACTATACACACCCCAAGCTGTGATTTTAGGTATAATCAAAGGCAACACAATGAGGATTGCTGGCTTTGAGAGTTTAGATGGGCAATGTGTTAGGTCCCCACCTTTGATATGAACATGGGCTAACTGTCAAGGCAAAAATATTCATGGAAAAGGCTGAGAATACCCCTAAAAGGAAGCTAAAAGGACTGAGCCTTTTCAAAGTGTGCAGTTTGTGACATTCAAATGTGAATGTTGCCATAAAACTTGAAAGTAATCCCCACTGTGAGTTCAGAAATATCCCATATCAATGTGCAAAGTCCTTTAAGTATTTAAATAGCCAGATGGAAATTTCCAAACAAAATAAGAAGGGTAAATACACATGCACCTACTAGACAGTTGTGCTTTTCCGCAGCTGTTGACTGTTGGCATTTAAACATGTACAGGAGAACACTACAGAGGAAATTACATCATTCACATGAAACAGAACATATTTTCCTTAGGGATGGTAATATCTAGGTTGTCCTGTTTTACATCTTGGGTTATATAGAGCTTTTTGAGCTTTACAAAATATTTTTATTTTAAATTTCTTATAAGACTTTAGAAGTTTCTTAAAAGAGGGAGCCTGTGCTAGACAAGTAACTCTTGTTTAAAAGCACTTGTATTGCTTCCAGAAGGAGCTTGAGAGTAAGCATGAAGTGGCTTAGAAATGAAACCAGAGTCAAGAGATCTTCTATCCTCAAAACTTATTTTGAGCTATATTCTAAATTCAGAACCTACACTGTTCAACTAGAAACCAAATTTGGCAAAAAGAAATCTACCACCCGTCTAGCTCTGGCTGTGTTTATTAATGGCCTTATGATACTTGAAAAAGGAGCTGCTTTTTTAGCATACGGACATTTCTAAGACACACATCACTATCTGATTTCTTCTTTTGCTTGAATTTCCTAGGTCTCCTTTCTGCACACTGAAATGTTGCCGCACACCATTTAGCAGCAAATACTTTCTCTCTAAATAGGGCTGGTCTCCATCATTACTGCATCCTTGCAGAAGTAGATAAGGTCTTTCTGATGCCTTCTATTACTATAAATTTGTTAAAGAATGTTCAGTACTTTTCTCTGGCCATTAGCCATTGGAAAGGATTGAAGGATAAGCCCTAATATAAATTGATGACCCTCAAAACGCAGCTAAGGAATGCAATGAATACTACAAATGGAAATATTAAAAACCTGAGACATACAGGATATGAGCCAAAGTGGATTTCCATATCCTGTTGACCAGATACATAATTACTTTTTTTACAAGAACAGACAAGAGGAATTAGAAACAGATTATAGAAAACATCAGGACAGAAGATGTTCATATTATTTCACAACATATTTCTAATTTCTAAGTACAAGATGAGTTTAAGCAATAAATGAAATAATCTGGAAGTAGTCACATGCAGGATTCTAAAAATAATTATTACAGGAATTTATTCAAGGCCTTTGCTACCTTCCTCAGCTTAGAAGGAACACTCCTTCAAGGAGGGTTCTCTTTCAAGTATTTTTCTTGGGAGAATCTATTTTCACATATCTGCAGTAGGAGAGCTGGAAAGCAAAGTTTAAGGATTCATTCCTGCAAGCCTGCCTATGGCTGGAAGAACTCTGACAGCGGTTCTGCAAGGCAATTCCAGTCACAGAGCATATGCCAAATTAATGTTCTAGTACATTTGGACTTTACATCAAGACTTCCCCAATATGTTCCAGTAGAACTAAAAGCAAACAGATTTATAAATGCAAATGTTTAGATTATTTGGTCCAGATTGTCATGCAAGCTCAGTAATAAGTGTACACTTTTACACAGCGTTTATAGATTTAAGACAGTTTATCTCGTTTGAATTTAGAGTTTGAAGGATTAGACTTCACTGAAAAGACCAGAAACAAAGAACTAAAGAGGCGAATATGTACTCCTCCAAGGACGGAAATACTCTTTTATGTTATCCAGAGATCTGCATTATGAATTTCAAATCAATACTTTTCTGGTGAGCAGGACACATTTAAAACAACACTTTTCTGTCCTGCCTTTGTTTGCTAGGAACTAGGCTTAGTTAACGCATAGAACTTTTATTTGGCACTTAAATATCGTAAGTATGAAAAGACCTTTAGATCTGTCTCTTTACTATAAAGCCAAGTACAGATTTCCTGATGACCAGCTCGCATCTGCCAACAATACAAACATCCATACCTCATCCATTCCATCAGTTTTAAGACTGATGAAATAAATAGGTAAAAATGTGTGAAAGCAGAACTATTTGCTGAAAGATATAAACTACACTGACAACAGGCCTGGGTTATATTTTAGTGTTCTGAAACAGGAAAATAAAATAAAAAAACACTTGAGAGAATTACACTGCTGGAGGGAATCTGAGGCTCAAGATCATGCCTGAGGTTTATCAGCATAAACACAGGAAAGATTCTCAAAAACCTTTTATGGTGTTAAGATCACAACTATGTCTGTCCTTCCCCTTAAGTGCCTCTTCTCTGGAGCAGCTCTAAGAGCATGCTGTGCTTTTGGCTATCTCCTGTAGTCCAAGGTGCTTTGCAGAGTGCCTGTGAGCAGGCTGTTCGGACTTCCCAAAGGCATGCTAACACAGTGGCTGTGTACAAGGTCCTACATGGACAGGAGGAATAGCAGGGAAGTCTGATCTTACTGCTACTTTTAGGCCCACTCTGTGGAGGCAAGAGCCTTTCACTTGCCGAGAGACTTGTCTGCTTAATTCCATCATACTTTCAGAAAATTATAATTTTAGGAAATGTTATTCAAAGCTATAGCCCAAGCTTTTACTAACATGCAAACCAATATCTATTCACAGTCTGTCTTCGTGGGACAAAGGCCCATAAGAAGTGCTACCTATTATCAGAAGGCACCAAACATTTTCATGAAGCCCATGAAGACTGCATAGCCAAGGGAGGGACACTGGCTATCCCAAGGAATAGTGATGAAACAAACACTCTTCAAGATTATGCCAAGAAAAGTATGCCTAGAGTGTCTGAGTTTTGGTTGGGAGTCACTGATATGATAAACGAAGGGAAATTTGTTGATGTCAATGGCATGGCTCTACAGTACTTCAACTGGGATCGTGCCCAACCGAATGGGGGGAAGCGTGAAAACTGTGTCTTTTTTTCGCAGTCATCACAAGGCAAGTGGGTGGATGAAGTCTGCCGTACTGCCAAAAGATATATTTGTGAATTTCTGATCCCGTAATTACATATACAAATAACCATGTTTCAGGTTATTAACGTGAAGGTTTGCTTGTTAGTAACCGCTCCCACTTAGACAGTGGCAAGTTAAAAATCTCCATCTCCTGCATTGTACTCACTCTCTCCTGAAACACAAGGTTTTCTCTATTAATTTATTTTCTATTCAGATGCTAAAAGTGTTATGTTTAGTAAGTGCTCTCATTATGTACAGGTATATATATTAAGTTTTGAGCTACACTGTGTCATATTTGAGCATATAATTTCAGCCTGATGTTCGGGTTGCTGGAATTCACCTGCTATTTCTATGCTTTGTATTTCCATGGAAGGATAGTATTTACTTGAACTCAGAACTCTAGTGAATTTATTGAAAGTTTACAAAAGATGGCTGTTTCGTGACATGTGCCAATAAGGTGTATGGATCCTTTCAGTTCCAGTGTTTAAGAGGGACTCTGGGATTATGTGAGCTCCTGTGAAAAATGACCAACATCCTTGTAGAGTTTAACAGGGTGAATCTGTGACCAGGAGTTTTACTTATGTGTTAAGAAAGCCAAATGAAACAGAAAAATCTGTTAATTTTTAAACTGCATGGAGTTAAAAGTGACACGCTGCTAGAAAATGGGGAAAGTAGCTGTTCTAAAACATCAGTTAGTCTAAACGTGTTTGCTTCTAAATGTCTCAATTATGGTTAAATATTAGATGATGTCATGTGGAACATTCCCACTGAAGAAACCAGCCTGGGACTACATCATACCTCTACCATGTAATGCTTTCATAAGATGCGCAAAAGCCTTCTCTCCTGCAGGATCAGAAAGAGGCTTTATAATTCAGACATAACACTGCCTGAAAACACAACTAGAGAGGAAGGATCCCCTTTCTGAGCACAACATCTCTGCTCACTCGCCTCTCTACATGGCAGGCAGCACAGCCAAAAGGCACAAAAGAGTGGGGCCAAACTGCAGCTCATTTGGCTGATTCAACACCTGACATTTGTAAAAGTAAAATGTGCTTGTTATTTTTTGCTGTTCTTAACCTCACAATAGATTTGCCTTTATGTTATAAATTGCAGTTTCTCTCTTGTATAAAGGAATTTCATTTAAATATTTAAATATATTGCTGCTTGGAGGCTAATTCCTACTTTTTATCTTTTAGTTGTGCAAGATTTTCTTAAATTATGCAATAAATCTGTGATTACTGGTATTTAACTCTAGTAATATTTTTCACAGCTTATGCATCCATGTGAAGACCACTTTTTCCTAGAACTTTTCTTGAGGGTTCAAAAAGGATACTGTCTTTGGGCACATTATACTATACTTTTTTTTTTTTTTTTTTACTAGGGTACCTACATATCACAGGACAAAATTTGGATCCCTGCATGCCTAAATGCTACATGAGATGCAACAGTTCAACACATCACTAATGTGTCATAAATAATTTCATTTCGTAACAATATATTTGTAAAATAGGCCTGATTCTGAATTCTTTCACTTAGCTCCTGAGTTCAAATAAAGGAGCAAAAAGTCCCCAAATATCTTCAATTTTCTTTCAAAATACACCAACCTTTGCTAAGGTTGGGATCAATATTCCTTTTACCTACATTTTAACATGATTGAAAGTCTGCAATAATTTTGCATGGCTTCTTTAGCTCTGCCTTGTCTGAAATAGGTCAGTATCTCAGCATATCTCTACAGCTAGAATCAAATTAAAAATTAACCACAAATTCCAGAACTTGTTTGCCTTTCAGTAGCTCATAAGTTTATGTCCTATTCAGTCTATTTCAGCCAAGCTTCTGAAGTTGTGCACAGGAATCGAAACACTTATAAATCTCATCTGTGGACATTTGTCAACCAGATACAGATACCATAGACAGAAATAACTATTTGTTTACCGATGATTTACTGCAAAAAGTCAGAACTCACCATAGAGAAATCAGTAATTAATTTGAAGAGTCCCAGCAGAATGCTTACTTGGGAAATAACAAAGTGACGTAAAGCAAACAGAAAAAATGATGGAGGAAAACTCAGGTGGATAGAGTTGGAGAGGAGATGGTAGGGGATAAACTCCTCCAGAAATGCCAGCAATGAGGGCAAGACAGACAGGAAACAAAGCAGAAACACAGCAGGGAGACAAACTTTGTCCTGTCAAATTAACTGCCACTGTCTTTCCTCTCAAGGACTGAACGTGCCAGACTGAAGTGAGCTCAGAGTAAAGATGAGTATCTGCTGGTTTATGGGCCTGCTCTGACCTGCTGCTGCACCAGCTCTTGTCCCCAGACCTTCACTCCCTACTTTCCCTCTCTCCTGGTAAATGTGGTATTGCCCATCTTTGCCATTCAGGATTAGGCTCCCTTCACACCAGTTTCATGCAATTAGTTTCTGAAATCCTCTGAGGTCTCCCAGTGACGTTTTTCCCTCCAAGTTCCAACTCTGGGTTCCTCATATCTTCAAAAGTCACACAAACCTGTGCACCAGGGACCCCTGCTCCCCAGGACAGCTGGCAAAAGGGAGACAAGAGCTGGAGTTCTGCGTGCAGCTGGGTTTTCTGTGCTGCAGAGGGGTGCTGTATCACTTCGTGATTTCCCATCTGCACACTGCATAGTCATCGGGGTGCAGCTGGGAATTGCTTGGTGACTGGGAATTCAACAGGACACACGATAGCAACTTTTATACACATTACTGCCAAACCAACAGAAAAAGCACCAACACTCACACCTAGTGGTCTAACAGGAGAACGCAGGGTTTACAAAGTTTGAGGTGCCATTCACATGCGATTACTGTAACAAATACTGCTTCTAGTTGCTTGATAAAGGGAAAAGGTTCAGTGTAACAAGCCCAAACATCTACTAGCATCTTTGCAAAAAAATAGATATATTTTTTTAAAAGACTTTATATACTAATTTTCAAAAGTACTTAACACTCAGCTGGTAAACCTACATTCTTGTTATTTTTTATACCTGGTATTAGGAAATTTTTATTTTAGGAAAAAAAAAAGAAATTTTTTTTCTTTAATTCTTAACTTTTCATGGACTCTATCTTGACAGGCCAAGCAGTCAGTGTGATAAAAACCTTGGGAATGGTGCCCTGAATATATGATACGACAACATAAAAAAGCCCTAAAACCACTCCTTGTTTTGCAGCACCACAGCAGGTTAAATAATGTTATTTTTCTCCACACTTATTTCATACTTATATTTGTCCTCCTACCTTGCACCTGACATGTTCACAGATTTCTCGTCTCCTTTGTCTCACACAGACATCTCATTCTTCCATCTTCCTGCCCTAAGGGAACACAAAGCTGGCTGGGAGCACCTAGGTGAGCGAGTTCCCTCCCCAGGCTTTATGTCTCGATAACAGAAGATGTTCACAGTCAGGTAACCATACAGGGTGACACAGGGTTAGGTCACCACTCTCTGCTCTGTCCCGTGGCAACTCATTTCTTGTTAGAGCAAGAGGTTGCCCCTTGCGGCGTTCACATCTCTTTGCTTCTGCCTTGTGATGTGTTTTAGTAGTACTTTATTTCTGGCATAAGAACTGGTAGTTAGAAGAGGTTCATTCCACATGATATACACCCAGTATCATTTGGTCTGCCTTCAGCTGCACTACATCTCACAGAATTTTCTACAACTCACCTTCTTTCTTTTTGACCACCTCAGCCCTGCCTGTGTATGTTAAACCAGGCTGATCATCATCCTAGTGAGCCCACTGACACTGCCTGCCAGCAAGGAGAGTCTGAAGCAGAAGAAAGACTACCAACACCCAGCTGAGAGCTTAGCTGTACTAGAGTTACCCCTCTTTGGTCTGCTCTCAAAGGGCAAGTTCTGGTATTAGCTGAGAGGTGTTCAGGAGCATCTCCCACCGATGCTGAAGGCTTGCTGATTTGCTCCTGACCATCATTAGAGAACTTGTGAGGGGGTATAAAACTCAAAGTAGAGCAGTTTGGAGTGGAAGGAAGTTACAATTCAAAACCAAGTCTAAAGCTGGCCTTACACACAGGAATGTAAGCACAGTACTTTTATTTACTAGTATCTTTACCTTTTTCACCTTTCTCCCTTGACCTTTACTCCTTCCTTTTATTTTTCTCCATATGTTCTTTTCCATAGTCTTCAGGCATACACATTAACTGCCTGGGAAGGAAAATCTTCTAGGAGCATGGAAGTTTGATTCTGTAGCTAGGTCTGTACTTTAAACAACTTTTACAGACCTATTCTCGAGTACTCACCCTAGTAGCAGTGCAAAATTCAACCTTCACCTTCCATCCATCAGCAACATCTAGTACCTTGTGGAGCACTCCATTTTTGAGGCACCGATGTTACCCCAGTAAGATCAGAGGAGTTCTGAAGTTACTTGTGGCTATATTACAGGGATGGAGGATTTGCCTAAATCACACACTGCAACTGCCTAAACCTAGGTAATTGCTGAAGGATAACAACTGTATCTGAACAACATGAAGCAGCCTCAAAGCACCTTACTTTTGAATAGCAGTGAGCAAGGGGGATTCCTCTGTAGGAGCAAAGAACTTCAACTGGAGGCTCTGCTCACATTTAAGATCAGCCCAAGCTTGTTAGTATACATCAAGCACTCATCCCCACTTGAATGCTTGGGTCACAGTGAAAAGTTCTCAGCTGTGCTTGAGGCACAGGCTGTCTGATGGATTGATATGTGCCATGGGTTTTAGCAGCAGAAGCTTTAAAAATAGAAAACAGTCAAATGTTTGGCAACTAAAACATGTGGAAGTCCATTAAAATTTGGGAAATGGTTTCAAATTTCAGCTTTCTTGGTCTTAATCTCCAATTTAAACTGCTTTCTGGGATTAAGCCAGCCACATTGATGGCTGTCAGGAAAGCTGCGTGCTTCCCACTATAGGGTGTTTATAGAAGGAAAAAATACTCTTGTACCAGACTCCAAGCTAGGGGTTTGGGGGAATGTAATCCCAGATAAAATTTCTGCATCCCAGCTGGAAGTGCCTTTCTGTGCTCAGCAGCCCAGGCCTATGTGTACGTAGGTGAGCTCTAAGTCTTCAGCAGGAGCCCACTGAGAGCAGGAGGCTACTGAGCATAGGTTACAGATGGTTGTTACATGCACAGCTACCACCTCTACACCAGAAGCCTGTTTACTTGCACCACAGGCATGTAGCTTCCTGCCTTGCAACCTCTCTGAGGAGAAATGTGCTATGCAGAACAAAAGTACTATAGAGGTTTTGCTGTGTTTCATTGAACTGCACGACAATTTTCTCATTAGTATAAACCTTGTCCCTCCACCTTTGGAAAAGAGGCAAACAATCTGCTTCAAGGAGTCCCAAATCCTCTTACTGATCACCATCCACACATGAAAAAGGAATATCTGCCATGAATCAGATTAGCCTTACTGGTGACTCAGTAACTTGCAGGTAAACTGTCAAAGATCACATTTTAAAATAAAAATGTGATGCACAATCTTAGATTGTTTATATTTGTCCTAACAGCTGGATGACTGCTTACAAACCGAGGCAGAATTTGGCCGATGTACTTAGCTAAAACTCTTAACAGTTCTGGCAGTATTTTCTGGAAAAAAAAAAAAAAAA